CAGCCTAGCACATTTTGCACTACAATGCTGTTTCTTTTTTCCCCTCTAATTCATCATGCAAGAATGATGATATTGTATTAACAAGACTTCTGTACCTGCCTTAAAGAAATGTACAGAAACACATGGGCTGCAATTATAATCCCATCTCTATTCACTGCAGAAACACATAGTGAGGCATACAAAATTTCTTTCTGAATTCTCTGCTGTTGCTGCAAGTGAGAAGTTTTGTTAAGGGTGCATGCCTTAGGATTTTGGTAGAGATTTTCTGTTAACTGACATGAACCAGGAGTATTCAGAGCTCTACTTTTTTTTCAGTGCAATGCACTTTCTGAGCTATGAAATTTCCATTTCAAACTCAAAATCATTTTTGCCTCTTAAAAAGCAGTCATATTATTTACCCTGTTTTGCAGTTTGTCATATGCTCATCCAGCTGATAGGTTGTTACAGCTGTTGGGTATTTATGAATTCTGCCATGCATACTGTCTCCAAGTATCTCTCATTCCTTACGGAGACTATAATGGCTATATCTGTCAGTTGAACACTTTTAAAAATACACCTTTTTCCTCCAAGTACCAAGAACTTCATTCTCTTCTGCATTTTTTCACGTTGGAGGGCCATGCGTGCTTACTGTGCTCTGAGCAGCGCGGGATTTCCTACACATCAGGGATGCCTGAAACACTTTTAGACACAGGGTCACTGACATCTTTTAGACTTTCACAGGTACCAATAGCACAGACAAATGAAAAACCAAGAGTTTCTACTACTTACTGTTACATGCTTCTGCAGATTATCTACAGACAACTCTCTACGGACCGAAGGACCACCAATCAGCTGTTTGGGAATGACTGCAGTGAAGCAGTCTCAGCCTTTTGCCACCTTCACACTCCCCATGCTGAGGACAGGACTGTGGTGCACGTCTGTGTGTGGGGAGAACGCTCTGGCCCTGCTCAATGCTGCTGATGCTCTAGTTTTTACTGAGACCAGCATATACGGTAGACCTTCTCCAGCTTATTCCACTGGTGTATGATTTGTATAGAAATACATAGGAATGGAAGAGCTGCACAGCGCAGCAGAGCTCTGTAATGCCATCATTTCCCACCTGTCTCAATACGCAATTGCACTGGGGCAGAAGGTTGACGACCCAGGCCCAGTCGTCCAATCTGAGCAAAACCAAGTCCCTTTCAATATTCCCTCCCTCCCTGCCCAATTGCATTTTGGAGCTATTTCTAACAGTGTGTCATTATTTTCACTCCTCTTCCCTCCCTGCCCTCCAGCATAATAATTCATTTTGCATTTTGATAAAAAGAAATAAATAATTTTCACATTAGGAAAAACTAAAAATGACTGTAAGTGGGGGATAAATTTATGACATTATCCATGAGTCCCAAATGAATGGAACATTTTAAAACTTTGCTTTAACAGGGTTCATAACTGAAACACTGATGTCACATTTTGGCTGTAACAGCATGAATGGTCCTGACACATTAAGTTCTCATTCAGTGTCACACAAACCTTGATACTATCTGACCTATTACTTATTCACAGCAAGATACGACATCTTCCTTTCATGATTATATGTCGTAAGAGTCACAGCCACACAGAAGTCACACAAATAAAACAACTCTGAAGACTGGATTTTCCCTGAGCCACCACCATTCATGTCATTCATCTTCTTTTAGCTCTTGCCAACAGAAACGCATGACTATTTACAGTGGCGGAGAGAGAAAGCCTTCCTGCTGGGCCATATATTCCCGCAGTGTTGTAATCTGTCTTCAAACTGCTAAACCAATTCACAGTCACTCTTGTCTCTTCTCTCAGTTAGCAGCTACACAAAAAAAAAAACGTTTCAGTACATCAGTTAGTAACATCCCTCTGAAGACTTGTGTCTGCTTTCCTAAAATTTAAATGTTTCCTTTTAAAAAGTGTGAAGACGACCATCAGTGGATGTACCAACACAGAGACATCTTGCTATGCCTGAATCAACTGAACTGAAACATTTGCACAGCAGTTTATCATCAAAGAAATGTAATTCTTTGACAGTCCATTTTACGAAAGTGAATCACTTAAGGTACAGAAGGAATAAGTTCAATCCATTTGAAAGCAGCTTCTGACTTGCGATATCATGCTACTAACCTCCGAGTATGACTCTTACGAAAGCTAAGTGTCCACAACTGCAACTGAAGACAATGAATGCATTTGAAACAGGCCTAACATATCCAGGTGCTGCTATCAGAACGGATGCAGTCATTTTGCCATCATTTACACAAGAAATGCTCAAAAGGACCATTCCATGGTCCTATAGCGCACAGAAAATAGGCATCCTCAATTCTTTTTCCTGTCTCTTATGTTCAAAAGCATCCTATTTCTATTTCAGTGATCCCTTCAAGGCCTATAAGAATCTATCTGAAGCAAGATCTACTCCAATCCATCTATTCCAGTAACAATCCTAGAATCAAGGTCATTTACTAAAAATATTTCACCGTTTACTCTTTCAACAGACATTCTGACTGTATATTCAAGAGCTGAAGGACATAATTGGCCCTGTTTACTCCTAGAAAGACATGAACTGTAGCAAACAGACACTGATCTTGGGACACAGCACTAATTTATCTCCAAGAAATCAAGATACCGGATATTTAGATTTTCTAATCCAAAAACAAGTACCATAAAACATGGCAACTTAATTTTGAAACCTTAGAGTAGAATTTATTTTTACAGTATGGGTCTCTGGTTACATTGTTCAATGTTTGTCAGATCTAATGGAGATCCTTGTTGCTACCGTCTTGGAACCGAAGAGAGTGAAAAGACAACATATAATCATTTACTTTATGAATGATAGTTCTTATGAAGTTTATTTAGGATTACATGGGTAATATGAATGGTGTAAAAGTAGTTCATAACACTGACTCTGGGGGAAGAGCTATACATGCTGTAGAACTACAGCCTAGGAATTCGTGAGCTTTTGTCTTTGTTTTCATTTTTGCAATGCTCTTTCGCACCATTTTCAATTGTTTTTACCCAACTGGACTGTCCTTAATGGGAGGCCTTCTCATGTCAGTTTGTGAGCAAAATCACTTGGATTCAGACAGAATTTTTTACTTTTATGAAGCACAACTTGCCATGGAGAGTTTTGGGGACATTTCTCTTTAGGCTTTGTACATGCTTGGGGCACAGATCATTGCAAGGAAATTAAGAACATCTACCACCTCTACAGCACTGTCTAGACAGAATACAACCAATAGGCAGGTCAATTCTCTTTTCTGGCACACAGGCATGTACCAGATCCTCAAAAGAAACTGTTAGATCCATACTCCAAAAGTCTTTCCTTGATACCTGAAAGACAACAAATCGTCATGTCTGACCTCACATATTCTTTTTTGCAGGTAAATTACAGGAAAGGGAATAAATGAATTAGTGACCAAATTTGCAACTTCCTGAGTCTTGTACACGACTTTTTCTATAAAGAAATGAAGATACCTATCTGCTTTTTTCCTCTGAGAATTGTAGAAACCATAAAAAAACCTTAAATTATTGAAATATTGTTCTTCATAAGAATCTAGTAAGTGATTTTCCAACATTATAATGTTGCATTTCTTTTTCCTTTCCAGTCTGTGTTTGTTATGCATATCTGGTCATTATGTAAGATAAAAAAAAGTTGTATAGATGTCCAGACCATGACATGTAACTCTGCAAGCATTTGAAAGGACAAACTCTGAACAATTTTCTATTCTGTGTGAAAAAAATTTTGCAACCTCTTTTTCTGGATAGACAATGCTTCATACTGAAGCATATGTTATTCTCAAATGTTATTAGACAATCACTGAAATTTAAATGGACTATAATTAAGCCAATACTGAAATTATTTTAATTATTTTTTTTATCGGTAGCAGCATTACCGTGTAATGCAAGGAACTAGAAGCATATGACATGTTTCATAAAAGACCATGGTCTATGCTTTTGTGGTATCAACAAACGGAGTGAGCGCAGGCATGTGAGTTTGTGTGTGATCAACAGCAAATATCAGGCTGGATGGGCTGGCAAGTAGGTGGAATGACCTAGAAGCCAGGGGAATATATTTATATATGTATGTATGTATGTGTGTGTGTGTGCACGTGTGTGTGCGTGCGTGCCTCGGGGGTTGAATTTTCAGGTACCAGTAACTGGAGAGACCAGGAGCAGCAGCATCTACTGGTTAGGCTGTGTGTCAGCTCAGCTACTAGAAGGATGCACGTTGTATAGGTGTGTATATTTCCCAGTACCAGACCATCAGCATGATCAGCCAGAGAGGGTAACAGGATGAGGCTGTTGGTGCTGTTTGTGTTTGTGGGAGTGCTGAGTGTGTCCATCTGTGTTGACCTGTGTGGTCAGACCTGTCTATACATGTTGTACATGTGTTTGTGTGCCTACTGGGATTGCACGCTCAGCCCTGCTACCAGTTGGATCTGAGGGCAAGGAGCTGTGGAAGCCTCACATCTATCTGGCTGCTGGATGCATCCCCACATCCTTAACTTTCTTAAAATAGGGTCCTGTGTGTCAAATTTGAACACATGCATGCTATATATATAATAGAGTGTTGCACATAAGGCATTGCACTCATAACTAAGTAGTTAATAAAATAACCCGACAATAGAATATTTAAAATAGCTTAAAAAGCATTTATTAGCTTTGCAGGCTTTTACTGAAAAATGTTTTTCACTAAAAATAACAAGGGAATTCTTTCATTTTAACCAGCCTATACTATCTATACACAGAATAAAAAACCAATATTCTTGTTAGCGTTTGGTAAGAAACAAGATGTTTTAAATATGCTTATTTTCTTTATATTTATAAAATTCCCTTTTCCTTGTTTTACAATTTATATAGAAAATGCAGAGGCATTCTAAAGAGAGGGATTTGGCTCTTAGATTTAATAATGACAGTATTTACATTGCAAATAAGCTAAAAACTGCAACATTTCTTAGTGATTTTCTCTCATCTGGTTTTGTTTCACGTGTACTTACGCTCAAGGCAGTTGGTCCCGGAGGTCCTGCATCTCCCTAGTTAAAACAGGAGAGTAAGTAAATTGGCAATCTCTTTCGTTATACATATTTAACCTCTAGGCATTTTAGAGGATATGCACCACTGCAGAAGTAAATTCAGTATGATCACCAAACATGCTCTGATTATGAAAATATATGAGTAAAGCAATATTCTTTTTCAGTAATGGCGTAGATGTAGACAGTTCACCACAGGTTAAATGGAAAAAAAAATGGCAGGGCTCTGCATAAAGGAATTACAGCTTAAAAAAAAGCAATCCTTCAAAACACATTTGCATATGTTAAATTACAAGCTGCAGCTTACAAGCACAAGGTGGCCACTGAAGTCAGTGTGACAGCTCACAGATGTAAAGACATCTGACTGTGTAAAATGTTCACAGAATTAGGTCGCTGAGGTACGAATCACGCTGAACCTTCAGGTTCAGCCCATGGGAGCAAATCAGAGCACCCAGAGAGCAACTGAATTTAGCCTCCTGCTCTGAATTCCTTCCAAAATTTGTTGTGATAAAGGGTACTTGTCTTCCATATTTGCAGTTCGTTTGTATTTATATTCTTCAACCCTTAAGTTACACAAATGGCAGCAGTGAGTGTTCGTCACACGTAGTTAAAGCAATGTGTTCAGTATTGAAGAAGTATCACACACATTCACATATACATACAACTTTACAGATAAAATAGTACCTTTTCTCCTTTAGGACCAGCCACACCAGGACTACCAGGGTCACCTTTTAGTCCCTGAGCAAAGAAGAAAAATGCATATTTGTTGTCATCTGTGGAAAGCATTGGACAAAATCCTGTAGTGCTGTGAATTAGCATATACTAACCAACTAAGCCTTAAAATACTATCACATTATTACTACTACTATCTCACAATTCTTTATTTTCATTATTTTGTGAAGAGAGAGACATCTATCGAAGACTGCATGTGTCTTCAACACATAAATAAACATACAAAGACAAACTATCTACTTGATCGTGCCCGATTATGGCAAGTAGCGTGTAGAAATGCGAAGTTCCTTTGCAGTCCCAGTAGGTCTGTGTTTTGCATGGCCAACAAAGATAAAATGGAATACTAGAGAAAGTACTAGCACATTCACTTAACCTCTGCTAAAACTGGGAAAGAGGCAGGGGTGGACAGAGAGCTGTGGATTCTATGTTTCAAATAGCAATACTGAGCTGGTCAGCTACCGCAGAGTACAGCTCAGAGCTGGTGCACATCCTCCAACGCCCCAGTCTTCACCAATGTTTGGAAAGGCAATTAGAGAAATAATTGAGTCCTTCATACCTCCCTCCTTAGTTCTGCCTTCAGCTGAAGAAGCAGATAATACCGCCTAGTCTTACACATTACATACACAGCAATTTCACAATTGCAGAATCATAGCATGGTTTGGGTTGGAAGGGACCTTTAAAGGTCATCTAGTCCAATACCCCTGCAATGAGCAGGGACATCTTCAACTAGACCAGGTTGCTCAGAGCCCCGTCCAACCTGACCTTGAATGTTTCCAGGGATGGGGCATCTACCACCTCTCTGGGCAACCTTTTCCAGTGTTTCACCACCCTCATTGTGAAAAATTTGCTCCTTATATCTAGTCTGAATCTATCCTCTACAATATCTACAATACAGCTGTTTCACTAACATGTCTCACCAGAATTACTCCCTAAAAAATCTTTAGCGCCCAGCACATAATCTTTGTCGTCTTCTCCTTGCTGCAAAACATATAGAAAAGCGAGAGGTTTTGAAATGTGCCCAGCAAATTCAAGCCATTCTGCAGTAAGGAATGAACTTAATTCTGATGCTGGACCAATCTACCAGGAACTACTTTTTGTTTAAGCCAAGAGATTTGTCTTGTGCCTTCCCTCTGATCACTGCTTTAGAGGCATGCGACAGGAGAGCATGTACATCGTAAGTCAGAGACAGCTCTACAGGTTCAAAGATTTTACTTGGAAACCAAATGGCAATAATGTAGGCAATACAGGACCAAATAATGAGATACTCCACAAGCAGGCCACCATGGTTATTATTGTGGAGGTTAAGTATCTATTAAATAAATAAATGTCGAGGATAGAAAAGATTCATCTACATCTGAATTAGGGTTTACTGACTTAAGTTCTTCCCAGCCCCCTTTTTGCCCTTGCAAACTCTCTTCCTCAGTTTGCAATAATTGGAAAGATAGAGACAACTGGCATGAAAATGATAAGTAACATCTGTGCCTTGGTGGGTACAGAAACATTAAATCAGTGAGTGTTCTAAATACTGCATATTTGTGCAACTTCACTTCCTGCTAAAATTACACTAATTCACCATCTGGAAGGAACATCATTTAGAGCTATATGAGCATTTAAGTACCCACTTTGGATTAAATTTGTGGTTGTTGTAAATACCCCTGATTTAGCTTTGATTTGTCCTTTATTAAGCTTGCCAAATATGTAATAGTTAAATCAGAAGTAGTTTTGCTATTTGAACTTAAAAAATGTAATAGGCAGATGGATTCAAAAACCAAGCCAAAAAATTGCTTTCTTTTTACAATCTGCGTATTTATGACATAGTTTTAATATTATCTCCATTTACTACATTTTACTTTTCACCTCCTTCTGAAAAACTGCATAAAACACAACCACTCCATATTCTAAAAAGACATTTTAGGGATTTTTCAGGTACGCAAACCATATGGATGTGGTTCAAAATCAATAATAGCAAATCAGCAGTGGTTTGAGTTTAAGAATTAGCTCTTAGGCTGTATATTTACAGGAGAGAAAAGATAAGGGTAAAAAAAAATCTGCAACTCACAGACAGCGATATATATCTGTGTGTGTCTCTACTGAACATAAAAGACAACTGCAGATGAAAGATACTGAACCTAAGCCATGCACTGTCAAACTATGAACCTCATTTTTTCCTAATTGGTGTGTTTAAAGCTTTTAGTAGTGTTTCTGCAGTGCACCTGGGTGAGGTATGCAGTTTAACAGCTACTGCAGAGATGATGACCACAGAGGTCGACCTCACATAAAAAGGACAAGGGGAAACTACATATTTGACAACAAGCCTTACAGTGTTCAAAGCAGTATTTTGGAATACCCAGGAAGGTTTTTATATGAAGTATATTATTTTAAAATACTTGAATTAGCTTTCCTTTGCAGTTTAAAACCTCAAGAAAGAAAAGTATCAGAACAAAAAATTGCTTAAAAGGTTATCCCATTAGAAATATTTCTTGTTCTTCTACACATTACATATCTTTTAAAAATATTATTATCTTAATAAGTTCCAGACATAGTGAATACTTGCAAAAACACATCTGGTACTGCACCATGCCTATTCTTTCCTACAGCCACCCTTTTAAAGCTGCCGAGATGTTTAGCTGCTGCTGACTGTCTCTGAAATGACATAAGAAGTAAGAATTCCTGTGCTAAGTCAAATCTGCCGTCCCTTCCAGCGCAGTACAGTACAGTACAGTATCCTGTCTCTGGCAGAGACCAGGACAGGATGCTTCAGTAAAATGGATGTGGTTATCTAAACAGGTATAATTTGGATGATTTTAGAATAAGCTTTAAATTAGAAAAGCTCATTTTCTGCAATATTTTAGGAGAACGAGGTCAGTTTTGAAAACAACAAACTATTTTCTATTGATCTAAGGGGTCTGTTACCAGATTTGCCAAAAATTTAAGAACTGAGTAAAAATTCCAGCAGCTCTCATAACAGAGAGCAAACTAATTATTGAATTCTATCCTGATCTAATTCTAGCTTTTTGGGAACAATATAATAATACACATTTGTGAGTTCATGAACAGTCTTCAGCTGGTGTTTTATCTCCTCTGTAAGGACTACAGTTTTGGTTTTTTTACAGGTCAGAATAAACTTGCATTATGGTACCTCTGTGGGTGCCAAAATGTAAAGTAAGCCTTAGGATGTGCATGGATAAGGCCAACTCAAGGCTAACAAGATAACAACATGAGAAATGGCAGAAATGAGAAATGTTATATATATATATATGTATATTTAATAAGACAGGTATTGCTGTAACACAATTGCTGACCAACAGAGAAATTACGGGAACAAGTGTATCACAAATATCAATAAGTGTGTAGAGTCATGGGGTCAATGAGGGAAAGATTAAACTAGAGGCAGGCTTTTTGTCTGGAAGGGAATGACAATGGTATTTCTTCTGGTGGAAGGAATTTAAAGGAGAAGTTACCATTTTGGTTGACACTATTTTTGACAAATATTTAACCAGACTTTTCTGTGATATTAGTTTACTGGAGTCTTAGGCAGCCTACAAAACCAACTGGATTAGCAGAAGAAAACAATTAAAAAACAGTAACTGTGCTTTAAAGCTCTAAAAAGGACTGTGGTTTCACAAATTCTTCAAAGGATGAGATTTTATTAATGGTGTCCTAACACTACTAGCATAAAAGGCGACAGTTTTTCTATTTGAATTTTCCTTTTAAACCAGTGACAATCTCATAGAATGTTTGCCGTGCTCTAGAGTTCCATGGTGAAATAAAAATAACTTTACTTACTGATGTGATAAATATGTTCCTTACCAAGTCTGAGAACATTTTATTCATTCAAAAGAAGCGCCAGGTATAACCAAAGCCAGAAAACAAAACAGTTTTTCATTTCCTATGTTTCAGTCATTTGGATAAGATCAGAACAGTCAAAGATTTTGCAAGAAAAGGGAACCAAACAAAATTTTCCCCTAAGTCAATTCTTTTGGGTCAACATGACGATCTGCAAACCGGTACTACTACCATCACTAACAAAAAGAACAGAAGATGAACAGAAGAGAGGATTCACAGCTTGCTGCTTGTGCTGGGAAATCACATCCCCTATGCCTGTAGTGTCTCAGGAACTACCCTGTGAAGGAATCCGAGCCCCTAGGAATATCATCTAACCTGCCCATCAAAATACAGCAACAACTTGAACCAAGTACACACCTTCTGTGAGTACTCTCATGTAAGCTACGGGGGTTATATTAAAAGGGAAATGTGTGTTGGTGCTTGCACAGGATGGGGAAAGCATCCTGTAATTTAAAGGAGTCTTCTTCTGCAAATTAGATTTTCTTGCAGACTTGTCTGTTGCTTTTAACCTTGACACTGTGATATTCAGCTGGGTTTAAAAGCCACACAAGGGATTTGTAAGGGTTGCATGAGCAGACACCTCTCCAGCTGAGACTGACTAGCTGGCAATCCCTGTGATGAAGACTCTGCAGCCCAAACAGGAGAGTCTGAATGACAGGCCAGGGAAGTTTGAGGAAGACTTTCAGCAGTAGACTGACAATGAGCTGGTCTGGAAGCAAAGACAGAAGCCTCAAGAAAGCAAGGGTAAGGAGAGGAAGCTTACTGGGAAACCGTTACAGAGCTGCCTGAGTGTCTAAGGCTTGTGCTGCCTGGCAGCAGACAACTGGACTGAAGGGTTTCCATATGGATTGGAGACCAGAGGGACCAAGGGCAGCAAGAACCAGGGTTCTGTGTAACAGCTCGCTGAAGATAAACTACTGAGATGAAGAGACAGGTATCAGCCACAACAGACAGATATCAGCCTCAGCAGTAGTGTTAGAAGACAGGGCCCACAGCCTTTTCTCAGCTGCTAGTTACTTATCCACAGCTGGGAAATATCTGAGAAGCGCGTTAACCTCTCACCCTGAGACAAAATGTTTACCATAATAACAGACATGAATTTGATCAGAGAAGTCTGAAAAAGAGTACCAAAATAACTGAACTGTTAGCTTTGCATGAAATTATCAATAAGAAAACTCTTTCTAGAGTTCAGGAACATTAGGAAAATTGTTTTGTTAAGAGTTCCCTCCAAGTAAAACATGCTTTTTTGTGCCCTAATGCTTTAGTTGATGAATTCTGACTTAACATGCTCTAACAGGTTCACTGAGGCCTGAGAAAACTGTATCATACACTGAAAATTTTCTCAGAGACAGCAGCAGAGAGTGCTTATACATCATCACAGAAAAGAAATGAAACAGGTAAAATGTACCAGCAGCTGACGACAGGTGCCTTTCCCAATGAAAAAATGCAAAGATCAGCGGGACCTCAACCAGAGAAGTCCAGCAGCTCCTGCAGCAGCCAAGTGTTGCCCACTGGAAACGCACCTATTTGTGCGGCATACACTACATTGCATGCACGTGGCAATGGCAAATGCTGCGAAGACTGGCATAATCTTTTGAGGAGAACAGGTTTTTCACTCTAAAAGATATCTGTTTGGAAAAACATCATTCATTATTTCCAATTCCTTGGCCTGCATTAAAGTAATCTGGTTCAATCCCATATCAGGTTAAAATCTCCTAGAACACGTATTATCTAAAGTACTGAAAATACAGTAAACAATCCAACACACTAACCAACAATGTGCAACCAAATTATTATAGATCAAATTAACAATCTCTACAGAGTAATAAAACTTGGAAATACTCTAATGAGTAAGACAACAGAACTACACTTTCTCTGCAGAGCAGCCTTAAAACCTAAATTAAAATAACAGCTTCAGAGTCAGCTGTACAACACCAAGCTGTATATGTTAGGATAACTTTTCTAATTTAGCAAAGTGTTTTCAAAGCTCCAAACAATATATTATTTTTCAGATATGTCTCATGTACTTTTACATGTTGCCATTGCTCTTTTCTCATTAATGTGATTCAAAAACTTCAAATTGTTACACTACTAGAATTTTCTGGATCCTGAGCAACAGCTACTGTCTCCTTATACTTTTGTTCCTCAAACTCTAGATATAATTAAATATCATTACCAACTTTGTACTTTCAAGCAATAGCATTCTTCCCTTCCCATGCAAATATTTCCTTACAATGCTAATACTAAAAGAGTTCAAGATTAGAGAGGCAGGCCATAAGGGTGTGAAGGTAAATGACTATTACTATAATATCGAGACACTGGATCCCTTTAAAAATATTCTTATTTCTGTACACCTTTTCCCACAAGCATAAAAATAAAAAGGCCCAAGACGTTTTCCGTTTTTCTATTGAAAACCTGGGATTTTCTTCATTGCTCACTGAAATTCAGAGGTCCATCCTTTGACATCAGGTATGTAAAGAATAACAACATTTTATGGAGGAAAGTTTTTAAAAAGTCACTTAGGGTATTACCTTTCCTAGCATGAGAAAAAAAATAACAAGTGAATCACTTGGTTTAATGCTGTAGAGATTATATACTAGATTTTAATTTCAGATTTTTTTACACTTTTTTTTTTTTTACAATTTACAAGAAATACTCTATTCTTCCCCTAGCTATGCATGACACATGCTGATAGATATGACAAAACTACAAAAAGAGTCCAAAAGTTTCAATGATAAAGATTTTCTTTCCATTTCAGTTCAATTGACAAGCATATGAATACAACATAAATCTTACTCCACAGATAGTTTCACGGATGTTTGTATTGCAAATTTGTCCTTATTCTATATGGGATATGACTGTGATGGAGAAAAAACTATTTATCAGGATTTCTTTCACAGTGTCTATGAAGCTCCACTTGTTACAGTGATACAAATGATGGCATTATTAATGTCAAGTGGCTAAAAACGTCTCAAGGGATAAACCAGAGATACTACTCAAGCAAACTGGCTTTTCATATTATACAGGCAAATACCTGCTTACAGATGTAATGTGAACACATAGCACAGGAGGACTACGTTAGTAATATATTAAGTTATTTGTAACTACTCCTTAAGAAGCTAAAAACAAATGGCAGCCACATTACTAGTATTTATAGTAAGTATTCATGTTGTCAGATGGATTTTGAATAATGTCCCAGACTGGGACACGGCTTTGTAGATCTTGGCTGAGATTCCTGGAGCGATAAACTGGGAGATGTGCAGAGCAGTTAAATATATTCACAGTTCCTGCATCCAAACCTGGTTCTCAATGAGATTAACTGACCCAGTTATCACAACCAGTGAGGAATAAGGGAATTAAACTTTTTAGGTATCTCTTCATCATTACAGAAAGTCTAGTCTCGAAATCAGGTCTGGCTTCCCCTCTGTCACGCTACTTCATTCCAGCAAGAACTTTTTGTACAGCTAAGAGAACACAAGTAGTAACAGCAAGCAAAACTGTTCTGTGACACCTACTTTCCTGATTTTGATTAAAATAAATTCAAATATGTTTCTACCATTTGTGCAAGATAAAATGTTCAGTCATCATTTTCAAATTCTTCACTTGCAAGTACGGAAACCCTCACTCCCGCAGGCAGAAACAACAGCTGCCAGCAGCCGATACCACTAGCTTTAAGTGTTTTCAGGCTTTCTTTATACAGCACTGCAGATTACACCCATGTACGCAGATTAACTTGATTATTTCAGAAATATCGGATGTTACATTTCTGTATGCGGAATGAGTTTGAGAGACACTGATAGCGACCAAGAGTCAATGATACACAGCCCTTTAAATTTAAACTTAATGACTGGCATCTCCATGCACAGTGATAACTGAATCCAAAGCATTTTTTATGTGTTGTTAAAAAGGAATTATGTGTGGCTTCAAACAATATAATGTTATAGTGCCTTGTGCAATTTTACTTCCAAAATGTTTTAATGACAGTTCCCATGATAATAATTTACCATTTCTTGACACATTACAACATTTCAGTAAATATTTCAAAATATAAAGGTTCGATATTTTACACTTTCACAGTGCCACTATGTCAAATATGTTCTAGAGTTCACCAGATACTTGGTATACCTTACTCTTCCGAAAAGGTTTATGGAACAAGATCCCATGTAGTAAAGGAGATCGTGTAAGACCAACACAGAAATGTCCCCAGAGCTATGGAAAGAAACACAGATGTGCTTTTTCCATGCTGTCAGCATATATGTATGCATGACAGAAGTATATGGTTCACCTTTACAGACAGGCAGGCTACAAGAGAATACCTCTTTGAATACCTAAACATAGTTTCAGCTCAGTACATGTTTTCATATGGAGGACATCCACTATTAGTCAAAAATAGCCTGATTTATCTAGCATTAAATTATAATAACCTGAAATAGGAAAAATATTTTTATGGTTGCAGTGTGTGTAGAAAGCCAGATGACATAAAAAGTGTCATAATTACATAGTCTGTTTCACTGCATTTTCAGTAGACCCAGCTAGACTGTCATAGCTTTTTTGTCTTAAATGCTGACCTTTTTACTCTTTTGGTAAAGTTGCTTAAAAAAGCTTTGCTGAATGGTTTTTCCAAATCCTGTATCTGGACTCCAGTCCTAATGCCACTCATTGCCCACTGAATTTGGACAGTCAGGTTCAGATCCCTCTGTGAGTTGCTCTCTGCCTTCAACTATGATGCTTTGCAATTGGAGAGCCAACAGTATCCTGCATTAAAACCTAAATCCAAGTTGACCCCAGCCAGGTCAAGGAGAAGCAGGGGAAGAAGGGGACAAAGAAAATGGCTTTTTTTTTAAATCTTGCTGGTTGGCTATTTTCGTATTGCATTGAAAAAATTTCTGATTTTCTGCCCTCTCATCTTGGTTTAATATATACAAAAATTAATTTAAATTTAAAAATAAATTAGGCAAAAGTAAGGTTTATTACTGGGTGTGTCTATAGTGTTAGCTCAAGTTCAAGCTTCAATGTGAGCTCAACGATCAGGATTGTCCAGTATTTTTAGGCACAGATTCATACTCTACCTCAAATATGGACCAGACCAATTAACTACCTAGGCAGTGAAATCTGGCAGAGAAAAAAAGTGAAATTTTAACTCAAATTCTCTATCACACAAGCCACATGGCACAGTGAGCGACCCATGGCTCTCACCCAGGAATGGCTAACAGCCTGTGTATTTTCCTTTTCAGAAAGCAAGGCTCCAGGCCTAGCTTTACGCTGCCTCCAGAAATGCCCCCTTTTCCAGCAGATTATCCAGCCAGGAATGATTCCCATCTATACCGTGTTTCTTTAATCTCCTTGCTTGTTTCAGTTTATCTCATGAGCCCTCAGCAGAAATATCATGGAACCTACCACATCCTTACCCACAGCTCTCCTGTCCAACCTGAAGCCCTAAGAACTCATACCTCACCTGAATGCATCTCTCTTTCTTGCCCCATCCTCTTGTGGATGTTAACTCTCCAGGTATACACATTTTCTAAATCTACCACTCTCCTTACATAAATTCTGAATTTCATTGCTTAACTATCCCCCCAAAAGTTTGTAACTTGACTATTCATTGTCATTCAGTTTACCTCTCTTCCATGAATGCCTTCTGGTCCTGGTTCTCCTTTATCTCCTTTTTCACCCTAAAAGAATGAATATTTATTTTATTATATATACAAGACAAATACTAACCCATGACACTTTTTAACAGGAAAAATATTTTAAGATTCTGGTCTGTTCTACATGAAGTGCTACATATACATTGCTGGCTGCACAAGCAGAACTATTTCTTACGCTCCAACAGAAATTCTTTCCAAATAAACGCCTCTGAAAAATGTCTAGCACTCTGAGAGCTACAGTTCTCTCTACTTCACAGTGCCACTGAACATCCATAAAGACTCACCACAGAAAAATACTCTTGGTTCTCACAGTGCTCTGAGAACATGGTGGTGAAACAGAAATTTACACTAGGGAACAGTTTTCTTTTTTAAAATCTTAACATTGACATTAATTGCTTTCATTTTGAGACTGTTTTTTAATAAACAATTCTTGTTTTAAATATCTGATAACAGAACTGTCAATATTATCATTTGTCTTTGACTCATACTGGTATATGGTTCACTGATTGCATTTGAAAAATGGAAACAATTTTTGTTCTGAAAATTTTCTCACAAGTATGAACATGAACAACATTATGAATCAAAAGAAAAAAATGGTGGGAAGGATCCTTCAGAATCAACTTTGCAAGCTGGTTGCTGTGTTTGCTCATGAAACATTGACTACAAAACACAATATTCTTTGTAAGATACATAAAAGGATTCAGTTCTGTATTATCTCTAACTACCATGCTATGCTATTTCATCACATATTTCATCAAAGTGAACAAAATATACCTGCTTAAGAAGCATAATTTAAAGGAGAATGTTTTCCAGAACCAACAAGTCTAAACAGCTCTATAATTGCATCTCTGTCACTAGACTGACCTTTGTCAAATCATAAAAGTAACATAATTCTGATAAAAGCACAAGTACTGACTTTACTAGAGTCCAAGCTCTTCACATCAACCAAAGAAAGCGAACAGCCTTGCACTGAATTTCCACTATCTCCAGGGGACTACATTTGTCTGAGCAGAGCGTATTCATTATGTCAGCATCATCTTCATAATTCTGTTAGGTAAATGGTATTGAACTGAGATCATTCAGCTAACTCCATTTGTGACACAGCCCTGATTCAGAGCTATTTCTCCAGTGGCAATGACAGAGGGCATTTCATCTAATAATCGGTTTTGCAAAATGAGTTTATATGAGCTTTCTCAAACAACTGAAGCCTGCTAACAAATTAACAACGGCAAACTGAGAATTTAATAATCCCATGCACAAAATGGCTTTGCTAGATCATTGTTTCCATTTTAATACATCTATGTTGATAATAAACCTAATGCTACGCATTAGCCTGAATCATACTGTTAAGGTTTTTCCTCAAGTATTGCCTTTCTTGCTTGTCAAAAAAAAAAAAAAAAAAAGAAAAAAATTAAACCATATACATCTATGCATTTTTTGCAAAAGTTTAAATGACACCAAATGGTTATAGGAATTTAACACCGGTTATTTTAGTATGTTTAAACTATAAAGTCCTCTTTGTTCTATGTATCAAGGCATTAGCTGAGACAGTAATTTTCTTTCACTGTTAGTTTAAAAAAATAGCAGCTGAAGTCCCAAACTTACTATTCCTTTTTAAATAGCTCACTTAAATTTTTAGAAGAAACTGCAAAAACGACATTTTACTTTTCATCACTGTGACACTGGACATTTAATACTGCTTTCAGGATCTTTCAACCAGTATCAGTTAGACTGCTACAATCTTGCAACAGCTACAAAGGTACAGTCATATATTTGACATAAAATCTCCTTATCTGAATATATTTCTAGAAGATTTAAAAATCATTCCAATTTATGGAGCTGTTTCTTCTTCTATGATTTGCTTATCTGCTTTCATACTTTAAGAGAAAACGATGTAAATATGTACAGATTTGCTTCAGAAGTAGTAGCATCCTGTAAATTCCTTGATGTATAGATGGAAACCTAAGGTAAAAGTATCTTGTCATAACTTGTTATGCAACATCTACACGTACATAAAAACCTAAACAGAGAGCCTAAGCCAGAAGACAACCCTCCCCTCACCCTCGCTTATCATTTGCCTTGATGTTAGATGAGCAGCATGTGTTGGACACCATGCCTTTTTCTTCTACAGCAGGCAGACAGGAACTTTAAAATGCCGGCAGGCAGTTCTAGACACAGACAAGTGTGGCTGGTGAATGCAGGGAAGAAAGAAAAATCTGCATATCTTGTAAATCATAAGGAAGGGAGTTTAAGATGTTTGTCAGTTTCTTAGACAAAATGATAAAAAGCACCCCGTTAATGAGCCTCGGACCTCTGCAGAGTCCTACGACCCATGGACCTTCTGACAGGTATGCAATTTTACTGTGAACCTATTCTGATTTTTTAATGGAGTAAATGATTTGTCCTCGCCCAGCCTGTCGCATGGAATGTCTGTGTCCTCTGTGAAGCCAGAATTCAAAACAAACAGAGGCCCAATTTTTACAATTTATTCTCATGAGAGCTGAGCCAAGTCACGCTCATTTCTGCCTTTATGGAGTGCACTATACTGCATAATTAACAGCTTCAAATCTAGCCAATTTGCAGAATTGCTGAAGCCACTCTGCAGCGTAGAGGAGGCTGTTAATAATCAACATTGTGGCTTACCTCATAGATGAACAAAAAAGAGAGAAAAATGTGTTAATGCCATTTTACATCTAATGTTCCTGCCTGCTTATACTATATTCAGATGAGGCAATTAAAGATTATTTATTGCAAAAAAAGGATGACAAAACTCTGGAAGTACCATGCCTTGTTTGCTAGTTAACTAAAACTAATCCAATATAACACTGAATTATTTGTGTTTCTTTGAGTGCATTCTGCTTTCAATTACCCCAATGGAACAAGCTGATGGGGTTGCTCCAGTCTAACCGCTGGGAGGGATTCAGTCTGCTGCGTGTAATAGCAGATACACTGAATTCAGTGGTCACATTCTTTAGAGCCAGGGGTTCACGCATGGTTGCTGCAAGATGAGAGTACCAGCCTTCAACTCACTTGTCCACTTTAAGGCTGCCTCATTTTCCTTGCATACTATTGCCTCCTTATTATAAAGGCAAAGTAATGTATTTGGAAATAAAACACATTCATATCTAAAAATTTACGTAAAAAGGTAAAGTTTTTTTTTGCAGCGCTGCCCTGTTAATGATACTGATCAGGCATTCCTGATATCCTTTCTTCTGAGCATTTTAAAGGACCATGGTTAACAAAAGCTGAAATAGTCTCCAAAGCATGCAAGCTATACAGTATCACTAACTCAGTGAGGATACCTTATAAGTTTTAACCTCTGAAACTCCATGATTTTACCCTACATATCTTTAACATAATTATGGCTTGTTGTTGTTTTTTTAAATACTATTCTGTGTTTTGCTACAGCTCGGTCTCAGCAGAATGCTCTATGTGAATTTTCTTTTCTTGCAACCATTTCTCCATAGCTTCTTTTAAACTGAACGCAGCTCATAGTAATGCTTACAGATTTTTCCTAAAGAAGTTATGAATTTAAAAAATGAGCATCTTCAATTCAAAAAAACCCCTATGGCTCTTTCTGTTTTTTGCTCATAGATTGGTGGAGAGCTGGGGTTATGAAGGGCTCCATCCCAATAACATTCTTATTGACTGACTGGTAACCCTTCTGCAGAACGTGGGATGGTATACACCAGGAAAGCGGCAATACTCAGGGCCAAGCACCTCAGGACTGCTGAGACACTATACCATTTAAAGGGAGTAGAAATCAAGGCAGACTAATGATCTTGTCTCAGTTCAGACTGAGAGGAACTATGCAAGGAAACGAAAGAATGACACAAGAAGCTTATTTCCAAACAGGCTGTAACCCTGTATCACCTACGACTATTACCTAAGCAGGGTCAGAAAGACACAGCACAAAACATTGCAGAAATACACTTCTATTTCTAATAAACTGAAATCAACAGTGATGACCTGGAAGGATGTCACCATGAAGCCTGTATCTTCCCAAACCACCTATTTAGGATACTCAGACACAGCAAGAAAGCAGGTGATCACAATGCTCCATAGGCATCAGGAATTCAGAGAGCTCAGTAGATACACTTACCAAGAAACTGTGACCAAAAAACTGATTCTAAACTGTGCCATCGCCGTCTTGTGAAAGAGCCCCAAATAACAGGTGTCATGCCTGACCAAGCCGGATAACATGTCAGGAGAAAGATCTTTCCTACCTGCTTCACTTACCTCGACTGAGCAATACTGAAGACGTTCATGCTGGCTAACTACCGCTTAGTGCCACGCATCACATTTCTAAGCAAGCTCTAAGCGTTTCTTAGCCAGACAGGCTATATAAAGGCAAACTACCACCTCAACCGAGTCCAAAATCTTAGGCACAGAATGATCTGAAGCGAGGCCAGCCCGTGGCTCCAAAACTACACTGATGAATTGCCTCTCCCTGTCAGCGGGAATGAGGCAGCCATCCATTTTTATTCTTCGTAGAAAAACCTTAAAATGCAAAATTACCTCAATCAATCAGAACAGCAATTAAAAATATCAAGTCCAATAAATATTACAGTGTAGTGCTCTCCAAATGGAGAAATCACATGCACAAATAACAAGTAAGGAATAATCCCTCTAGCACTACTGCAGAGAAGGATCTGGGGATTATCATGGATCACATAGTGAGCAGGAGTCTGTAACACAAAGCTATTTTTAAAAGGCCAGACTCTGTTCCGGGATGAGCCAAATGCAAATTAAAAAACCCAATTACTCTGGTTTACTTGCCACTGATGTGAACAGTGAAAAACAGTGTCTAGTTCAGGGCATCATATTTTTCATGGAATTTTGTCAGCTTTTAGGTATCTGTTTCCCAAACCAGAATGATAGAAAGTTTGAAAAAAAAAAAAAATTAGGAGGACAGAGGGAACACAGGACACACTGATGAATCTCAAATATGGGAAAGAATGCTATAAATGGGACAATAAGTTTTCCACAGTAAAAATACAAATAATGGGTTTAATTTGTAGGCA